TACGACTTTATTCTCATAATTTCCAAAAAATAAATAATATTTTTTCTCTTACTCTGGCCCTTATACTCCGTCGTAGAAAGATAACTAACTAAGCTATGTAGTAATAATAGTAAGTAACTTATAAGTAATAGTTGTAGGTTTCTGTTGGGTTTGTCTGTGGTCAAGCTAGATTAATGCTTCTGTTTGCAAACTGTGTTATCTAGCTGATGTAAACCAACATGCAGACTTTTACAGATGGTCTGAATGATTCATTGCAGTTAAGCTGTAAACACTTGCAGTTGTTAGTTGTTGTTTCACTTCTGTATTTTTTGCACTACATTTCCCTGAACTGCTGTGTCTGACTTGAATTTCTCCTACGTGGGGATCAATCTAATCTTTATGGTGGCTATTTAATGCTAATGTTCATTTCCTACACTGGTGAGTTGCAACCATTCAGACATTAGCTGGAAATGCAGATCTTATGTAAAGTAGCTATGTAGCTAACTAAGAGAACTGGAAAGCACAGGAAACTAGTAGTAGGAAACCGTGGTGACTTATATTACAGGATATATAAATCCTGTGTTGTGTACAACTGCAGGAGTCATCATGCCAGTGAAAGGACTTCGATATTGCTGTGTAGCGGACATGGCTATCTGAAGTCTGCTAACATTAATCACCATAAACTCCAGAGTGTAGTGTACTGATTTAAGCTGAGCAAGGGTTGTTCATTATGAATTACTTTCCATTTGTTTATTCCTTCAAAACTTATAGTCTCGCTCTAACTGATGATTTTAACAGCGCAGTTGTTGCATTTTAGTCAATGGTGCTCAAAGTACGGTACTTCCCATGTGGTAAACAAACTAATACAGCTTTCTTCAGGACTGGGCATATGTACTGTGCTTAATTGACTCCCCTGTTTGCTTTGTTGCAACTGTCTGGGTGGAGCAAATTACACCTATAATCATGAACTGATGTAAATACAGCACAAGGCTGCCCACCTTTTCTACACCTGTGAGTGTGCAGGGCCATTTAAAGCAATTATCTCACACAGAGAAGGTGACCAATGATGTTACCTTCCATTAATTACACTGTTTAAATGCACAAGGCTTTTTTTTTATAGCAGCATAAATATGAGCAGCCTGTAACTGCAAAACTTAGACCAAAATAAATTGCCATATCATCCAAGTCTTTATTACTTTTTGACATGTTTGCATCACGTCTCACAATATTGCCTTACATTATGCGCTATCACATGAACTAATCCCAGTTAGCTAGTAGGCAGTGCATTGCAGTGTATATGTGGATTTTTATCCAGTTTTACAGCCCCTCAACATGTCTGTGCACGTAACTATGTAAAACTTGAAAAAAGACAAGTTCTAGTTGAATACGTTAGATTTGTACTGTCAGTTTGATATATGGCCCTTTGTGAGCAATGATGGCTTTAATATCCTGATTTGATGGTTACGTGATACAGGATCCATCACTGTTTGCATCAGAAACACTGCTTATTTTAAAATGACAAAGTGTCGAAGATGGTTAAATTGATGCAGATGATTTAGATTATTTCTTTGCCGTGTAACAGTAGACAGCTCAATATCGATCCTCTCTTGGGCATTAAATCAGACATTTGGACATCAAATCTGGAAGGGAATTCGTTGCATAAACTATAAATGCTTTATCCTGGTTCAGTACCCAGTGATTTAAGCATTAGTGAGAGTTAATTAATTCAGTATCTATTTCTCAGATTGAGCTAAATATGTGGCCAGGTGCCACATCTGAAGAATTTACAAGCAACCCCGTGTGGATTACAGTGATTTGCAGCTCAAAAGGTTTCCAGGTTAAAACTGGGATGAATTTGGTTAAAGAGTGAGAGTGTTTCATATCAGCGGTCACTGGAAAGGCATGGACATCACTCACTCTGTGTTCTCCTTATTTAAGTTTGGTAAGTATTTTTGCACTTTTAAAGGTTTTAGTCAGCGGAGTGGTATCTAATTAAAACTTTTTAAAAAATGAATGGCAACCGAGACTCTGAAACTGACTTTATTATAGTGATGTGGCTTGCAAAATTTAAGAGGCGATTGTTATTATGTTATTTTTTGTGAGAGATCTTGGCAGCTGGACATTTTGTTCCATTTAGACAAGAGAGTAGCTGGAGGTCATATTCCAACATCTTCTCCCTACTGTTTAATGCACCGTAAAATATCAGCAGTTCAGTGCAAATTTACATCCTTGATCTCGCTGACAAACACAGTACCTATCTTCTATTATTTTTAACTTGCATACTGTTACATTATATAGGACTGTTACTAATCATTGATTA